ATGAAGCAATTTCTGACCTTAGGTCTCTGGTTAGGACAGGGAAGGATATACGTATACAACAGAAATATAAGGAAATAATAATAATAATAATAATAATAATAATAATAATAATAATAATAATAATAATAATTAGTTTCTACACTATCTAACATAGTGATGACTTCTGATTTTATCTAATGAGGCAAGATTTAACGCTCGCAGTTTATATTAAAGGAAGGAAGCATAGGAGGTTTGTAATGAATAGTTTGCAGCGATGGGAAAAATGCAAAGAAAACAAAAAGCCAAATGTTACTTAGTGATGCACGTGAAAGAATGATAGTTGATTTTGTTTAGCGGCGCATCAACAACTCTATGGGTTATTTAATACCGAAATCTAAATATTTTGCACACAATTTTATAATTTTAACTAAATATATCTTGAAAGCAATTGTATGACTTCAACTACAGATAAAATGTATTTTGGTCATTTTGCTATAAAATCTATTGTTAGTAATTCTAATATATGCATTGTTGATAATTTTCAATATAAAAAGATATTGCTGATATATTTACTATGAAACTGTATATGTTTTATACACTTATATTTTAATTTAATTTTTTTTTGGGGGGGTAATTATTTGCCCATAGATGGCGCCCTAACATGATCTACCACGCCGGGTTAGGTTTAACCTGGGAGCAATAGCGATAAAGAGGTGGTGTCACGCTCCTCAAAACCTCCAAGCTTCTGAGCAGAGGCCTTGCTGTCGGGTGAGTTTCGCGTCATACTCAGGACTAGCGAGGGAATGTTGCAAAAAAGAAGTATGATTGATTGATTAGTTTAAAGGCATATCAAATCCTTATTTAATGCCGAAATATAATTTTCTTTGGATTTTTAAAGTAATAAAAATATGATATACGTTATTCTACATTCACAGTTGAATACATGGTAGATGATACTCAGCTTTTTTGCATATACATGTTTACGTGAACATAATTATTAGAGGAATTGATATGTGTACGTTTTATGTAGTAATTTTGTGGAAGTTATAATTTGGAATACAGTTAGATCTCTTTAAGAAATTGTGGGATATTATATGAACATCTCTCATGAAATAATTCTTTCAGGTTGGTTGTTTGGTTGATTGATTTTGCTCAGCGGATCATCAATCTCTATGGGTTAATTAATGCCGTAACCTAACTATTTTGTACGTAATTTTATGCGTTCAACTACAGATATTTTGTATGTAAGTTTATACTTTCTGAGTAAAGGTATATCTTTTTATATATTTTGTAGTTCATAAAATGTATTGTTTGTAATTTTGTAAATTTGTAAGAGATGGTTCGAGGCTCCTCAAAACCTCAAATCTCCTGATCAGAGTCCTTGCTGCCGGTAGTAGTTTATCATAACACTCAGGACAAAATTAACTATGGCTCTAATATATATATATATATATATATATATATATATATATATATATATATATATATTATGTGCGCGTGTGTAATTAAGTTTTATGTCGACTTTGAGTATTTAATTTTAAAAACTAATGTGTTAAGTTTATTTTGTAAACTGCGGATTTGTCTATTGTTAATGTAATTGATGGATTTTCTGACTTAACTCCATTCCTATTTATTCAAGAAGATGTGTTGATGAAGATCACTTCCTATTTAGTTACCCCTTATCAAAAGTATTGCTTCTTGTTCTAAATAATATGCAGTTGATTTTAGGAATTTATGTACATAAAGAGGAAATACATATATATATATATATATATATATATATATATATATATATATATATATATATATATATATATATATATATGTATGTATGTATATATATGTGTGTGTGTGTGTGTATTTCTTTTTAATAAAATATATCAATTAAATAAAACCTGCCTTTTACCAAATAAACCAAATACATTAATTTCTAGATGTAAATGGTCTAAAGTCGGTAGAAATGAAAAATCTATGTACTTTTTTTTCTAATGCACTAATATATGTAATATAGGTAATTCTAATACAGTAATACAGGTAATTCATTTGATTGGTTAAGCAATTAGCATTCAGTGATGAAAAATGTCCTAAATTTAAAAAATATGAAAAAAATGAATAAAAAATTATTACTATTATTATTATTATTATTACTATTGTTATTAATATTATTATTATTATTATTAAATTATATTTCTTACCCTTTTAAGAACGTTGAAAATTTTGTGAAAAATTTTTTTTTCCGTCAGCGAGGGTGGGGGGCACAAATAAAGAATTCTGTCTTCTTTTTTGCCGTGTAAAAGAACATTGATTTGGAAATTCTTGCAAAAATTACATAATTGTTGGATATTATTGAAACTTTCAGAACTTTTTCACAAATGTATGAAATTATTTCAGAAATGTTTTTTTTAGAAAATTTTGTTAATATATATATATATATATATATATATATATATATATATAATTAATTGATTTAAAATATGTTTTTCTTTTACATCTGTTCTAACCATGTTTCAAATTGAAAAAAGTCTGAATTTAATTTTGTAATTAAATTCCAGTTCCATTTCTTTAGCGAATTTTGAGAAAATTAAAATTTTTGAAGTTACTCCAAAATTCGCTTGAAGATGAAATGAACTAATGTCTTTAATTTAATTATAAAATTAAATTCGAGCTTTTTAGCTTACATTTTTTGAAACAGGGTTAGAACTGTGTAGCGAAAAAAACATATTTTAAATCAATTAATTTATGATATTAATGCTCTGTAAATTTACATTAAGCACTATTTTGTAAAATAAAATATCTATAAGAACACCAGATTATATATCTTACTGTTTTTCTTTTATATATATATATATATATATATATATATATATATATATATATATATATATATATATATGTATTTTAAATCTGTTACTCCACACATTTTAGGAAATTTCTGAGAAATTAAATTTTTTCTAGCCTAATGTTTATATTAGTTAAAAGCAGAAGTCTTTGGAGAATATAATTCATCAATTTCTTTTTGTAAAACAAGACGATCAGTTACCAAAAATCTGCTCAGAGTCGTAAAATATAAAAAATAAACATCAAATAAAACTGACATTATTTAATTTGAAAAAAAAAAAACATTTAATTGCTTTTATGATTAAGATATGTTATGGACACTATTGTTTTAAGATAAAAAACCTGACGATGAATAATGAATTTTGACAAGAATTGCCTTCATTTGTTGGAAAATTTTAATTGGAATAATTTATAAAGTTTTATATCTTTTAAATTTTTGTATTAATTTTTTTACTGGTTAGGTGATGTTTTTATAAAGTGAAAACTATATGTACCAATCAAAAATGCCATCCGCTTAGCTCAATTCTATATTTTAAAAATAATTTGGAAACATATTTTGTGTGTATTAATGTGCCAATTTTTGTAAATACAGACGTCCACTTCGCGACATTATCAGAAATTAAGAGCGATAACTATAGTAAATTTTAAGTTAACCTAAAATTCAATAAAATGTTATTAAGGTGAATAATTTCCTAAAGTTTTAAGATTATTGAGTAGTTAAGATTATACAGAAACGGTGACGACATTATATTCCTTCAGAAGATTTTGCAGATTTGTCCACCTTAGTAAAGTTTTCAAACTCTTAACACATCAAATAAAAAACTACCACAGTGTTAAAAAATATATTTCACTGATATTTTAATCGTGAAGTAAGTACTTTTTCAAATCAGATTAATTAAACTTTAAATCGGCTAATATTTCTCTAATAGAGTTACAGAAAAGTATATTTTATTTTGAAAGATCTTTCATTTTGATGGAACTTTAGGAATTTCAAAACGAAAACTCTTCCTTATCAATTTGACTTAGCTTTGAAATACAGCACAAGTATTTACTTATTTATTGGAATTAGTAAATGTAATATATTAGCTTGAATTTAAAACAGTCCGAACAATATGAATAATGTAGTTACAGTATCTCTTCTCAGAAATATAGACAAAACCTGAAGGAGGCCGGAGTATGTATATATATATATATATATATATATATATATATATATATATATATATATATATATACTTCGAGAACTGAAGGCGACATCGACAGATCCCAAGTAGTTTTTTTACAAGTAGCTTATAATCTACAATTCAGTCTTCAATAATAACAACATATCTCTCTATTTCCCACTTCCTTTCTCTCTCTCTTCTTTATCGCTTTCACTTTCCCTCTCTTTCTATCACTCACTTTCTTTCTTTCTCTCACTATTTCAATTTCTATCTCTGTTTCTTTCTCGCTTTCTCTCACATCTTTTTCTTTCTCTCTCTTTTTCTCCCTCTCTTTTTCTCGCTTGACACCTTCAATACACAGGCTTCCCCTTTGAAATACCCGTGAATTGCCTTGTCATTTTTACATAGATAGTGTCTTTGCTATCCCACTGCTTTCTTGACAATTTGGAAATTGAATTTCTAAAACAATTTCCCAACTGCCACCAAAAATGTTAGAGAACCCCGCCTTCCTTATTATTTAATCCATAACTGGTGATTCGGGATGAGAAGATTGTTTAAACTATTTAAATTTTTTGAGCTGTTGTCCTCATCTTTTTTTGCCATATTCACGATGTTTTGGCCGTCGTATGCTCCGGCCTTCTTCAGGTGATTATTCCACCGGAGTACATTGTTCTAGTTCACTGTGCCACGCATGTCTCAGTTATCTCCCTTTAACTTAACTCTTCAAGTTTTTGTTCACCACTGCAGTAGCCAGGTATTGAACTCACAACTCTTTGGATCAAGTGACTGGACCCAACCAACGTTTTCATTCTCTGGATAAGAGCGTAGACGTGCCGAAACGTCTTGAATATGGCAAAAAATTGAGGACAACAGCACGAAGAATGTAAATAGTGTAAATAATTGCAAAAATATCGACAGATATGGGAGGAGTTTCTGTCTTCAAGGACATTAGCGTAGAGTTCATGTCGCAAACATCGCTAGAATTTGAAACCATTTCGCTGACTTCCAGGTAATAATTACGCTGTAGATAGATTGCAAAAAGTTGAAATAGACAGATAAATAAATAAATAGATAGATAGTTATGGACGAACTGATAGATAGATAGATAGATAGATAGATAGATAGAATCAAGCTAAAACAGACACATATACAGATAGATATGAGTAGACTGATAGATAGATCTGAAGCAAATAGATAGATAGATAGACAGACAGACAGACAGACAGATAGATAGATAGATAGATAGATAGATAGATATCTACAAACTGATAGATAGATTTGAGCAGTCTAATTGTTAGATAACAACAAGCTGAAAGGCATAGATACATAGAGAGATAGATTGTAACAAGCTGAAACAGATAGATAGATAGATAGATAGATAGATAGATAGATAGATAGAATCAAGCTAAAACAGACACATATACAGATAGATATGAGTAGACTGATAGATAGATCTGAAACAAATAGATAGATAGACAGACAGACAGATAGATAGATAGATAGATAGATAGATAGATAGATAGATAGATAGATAGATACAAACTGATAGATAGATTTGAGCAGTCTAATTGTTAGATAACAACAAGCTGAAAGGCATAGATACATAGAGAGATAGATTGTAACAAGCTGAAACAGATAGATAGATAGATAGATAGATAGACAGACAGACAGACTGACTGACTATTAATGATTGAATTATTATCTTCATCCATTTGCCGTATCTCTTCAGGATGTGGTCTTTCGTGGCTCTCCACAAATTTTAATCTTCAAATCTAATATTCATCCTTGAGAAAATATTCCCACTTTCAGTGTAATGCCGAAGGATGGATGCAAATATAATTTTTTTTTCTTGTGAACCTTTTTGGATATTTTCGTTGGGAACAAAGAAAAGACTGCTGTGCAGCAATAAAATACAAATCCTCTTATATGGCAGTGGATACTCTGCACATTTTCCCGTAGACGAGAGAAGAAAGATGTGGTTCTACAGAAGGATGCTGAGAATACCATGGAAAGAGTATGTGAGGTATGATAAAGTTTTAAAGAAAATCGAAACCAAAAAGACGCGTATACAGAAGAAACAGTTGAAATTTCTAGGGCTCATAATGAGGAAAGCCGGTTTGAAAATTTGACACTCACATGAAGTAGTAAAGGCAAGTGGGAAACTCCGGCTAACTTTCATGTTTGTAGAAATGGGCGTTAGATCAGAGAAGAGGCGTGATTTTAATAAGACGAATTTTGCTAGGAGCAGCAAATGATAGGACGATGTGGAGGGGCATGATCGCCTTAAGTACCGAAGAGACACAGCGCATAGAAGAAAAAGAAGCAATTGGAATTTTATGCGAATTGTTTTTGCTCCCGTTAATATATAATACGCTTTTCAGTTTTGGCGGGATTATAAATACACCTAAGTCATCTTTTAAATGACTGACATCTCTTTATCACGTAACATTTCTTTTAAATCAGAGAAACATATATTTACACATAGCGCAATGTGAATATATTTGCTTATCAATTCAGTTAGATCCATTTAACCAATGGAGAATACGCGCTTCTTAATAGCAGGTCTATGTACAGAATAACTTAATATTGACATTATAAATTGAGTTACGTTCTTTCCTGTCAAGAACTACATAAAATTGGTTTTAATGAGGCGCCCAGGGAACCGGCAGGGACTCGAAGACTTCTTATGATCCAGTTCGTGCCGGACCATGAAATTAGCGCGAAATGCTGGACACTCGTCCGTGCCTCTTACTTTGCGAAGTTCGTCCAATTATCTAAATAATGTTATTATAATTCAATTATTTCCCGAGACAGACTACCCCGAGGGCATCTGTTCGATCATCGTAATCAATATTTCTTTTCTCGAAGTTTTAAAACTCTGAGTTCGATATTGTAATTATGGTGGTCGGCAATTTCGTGTGAAATTATACATCCAATGTACATCACCGGGGGATATGACTATTTGCTGTTAATAGATGCACGGATAGATAAGGAAGATATTTTTCTCTTTACGTTTGATTCAACATCTATCTATCTATCTATCTATCTATCTATCTATCTATCTATCTATCTCCTCCTCTCTCTATCTTTTTCTCTCCTTCTCTCTCTACAGACACACACACACACACACACACACACACACACACATATATATATATATATATATATATATATACACGCACACACAGACATACAACAATAAATAGACAAATTTTTACCACACATGATAATAATAAGAATAAATGAATATATATATATATATATATATATATATATATATATATATATATATATATATATATATATATACAATAGGGATTAAGACTGCATATTGGTTAAGGTAATATTAAGGCAATTTACAGGTGATATGATCATAATTGATATATATTAATTTCTATTGTATGCAATTTATATTATCTGTTTAAATAAAATATTGAGCACTTTATGGGAATCTGTTTTAATATTCAATAATTTACATTATATTATATTAATATGATTAACTTGGATTATATACCAACGGATCATTACCCATATATATATATATATATATATATATATATATATATATATATATATATATATATATATAATATATATATATAAAAACTAGACTCAGTTTCGAAAAACCCTCGAATTTTTGATTTGCTAATCAAATCAATCTCGAGGGAAAAAAAAAGGTTTTAAAAAAAAAAAAAGAGCTACAAACATGGACTTCTGCCGACAAAAAATCGCACAGATGTAGGTCTGAAGCCCAAAGAAAAAACCTCGATACGAGTAACAACTAACTAACAATACAATCGTAGAGCAGACCTAGATACACCTAGTGAGCCAGACAACCTACCTAGGTTTTTCATTTAAACGGATCGTCAGGGGAAAGCTTTGGCCAAGCTTTCCCTGACGATCCGTTTATATATATATATATATAGTTTAATGATCTATATATATATATATTATATATATATATATATATATATATATATATATATATATATATATATATGTATATGTAGTACAGGTATTAGATCCGTTGGTATATAATCTCGAGGATCCCAGTAGTATGAATTATTATTAAAACTGATACAGAAAAGGCTCGATGTTTTTATTTTAACAGAGCATATGCATTTTTTACAGAAAAAAAACAAAAAAAAAAACAAACAAAAAAAACAAAAAAAACTTCAACATAGAGTCTGTTTTTTTTTTCGTCTATTTTTTCAAGCCGTCCTGTGCGTGGCTATTATCAGTCTTCACCCGGGATAAGATATCTTACGCGCTTACCAATCGATAACACAAAGCCATTCTCATTAACAGAGGAGGACTGACATTGAAAATAAATTTGATAAATCTGAAGCAATGTTCCAAAACAGACACTTACAGACAGATAATAGCTGTGCACAGACAGAACGGGTGGAAATAGACTTTATGTTGATGTAATTTTGTTTGTGTGTAATATATATATATATATATATATATATATATATATATATATATATATATATATATATATATTATATTGAACAATAAAAATATAAGAAAATTGATAACTTCAGACACACTAGGTTGTACATTAATATTCTTTCGTTTTTATTATTATTTCATTTAGATTCCTCGAATATTTTCGGTCAACATGGCCATCAGAAGAAGAAATATTTTTGCTTGCTGGTAGCAGTGAACGACAGAAATGAATGTCTTGATGGAGAAAATGAACTTTTGTCTGTAGTTTTCATGAGTTTTTTAAATTTTTATCTTTTTAACATGAATTCTTTAACATTCCTTGTGTCGGTCAAACAGTCTCTTTTAAGTTGTTATTTGAGATGAGCTGGATGGATCCATGCTGCTCTGAATTCCCCTGGTCAGTTTGACAGTTTTATTGGTTCCTGGAGAGGGGATGTGTCTCTGTTAAGTGTGTGTGTGTTATTTGGTTCTTAGGGAGTGAGTGAATATGATATGTGTAAGCGTGTATATTGCTGTGAGTGTGTGTTTTCATTTGGCTCATTAGATTGTGAGTGAGTATGACATATGAGTGAGTATGACATATATATATATATATATATATATATATATATATATATATATATATATATATATATATGAAAAATATGTAGAAAATAGGAAGGAACTGGTTAGGTAAATAATCCAAATCCCTTTAGTATTTTAGTTATTATTTTCAAAAAATAGTGCTCGATACAAAAGTAGAGCATAAATATATAATTATTTATTTAAAAATATGATTCCAAATCGCGACATAAGAAGTCCCATGTTTCAAAACAAGAGCCTAAAACTTCAATATAATTATTTAAATTAAATTGAGTTAAAATTAAATTGAGTTAAAGTGAGCTCTGTTCCATCTTCCATCTTTCCTAAAAATCGCTTGAAGATGAACAGAGCTTATTTTAACTCAATTTAATTTTTAACTCAATTTAATTTAAATAATTATATTGAAGTTTTAGGCCTTTGTTTGAAAACATGGGACTTCTTTATGTCGCGATTTGAATCATATTTTTAAATAAATAATTATATATATATATATATATATATATATATATATATATATATATATATATATATATACACATATATATATATGCGCGTGTGAGTTTGCGTGTGTGTGTGTCTAATATCTGTGTGCTTGTGTGTTCTTTCATATATATGTAAATATAAGGTTTCATGTGGTTAACATATATATATAATTTCACGAGGATCTTCGTATTTTTGAGAGTAGGTAGTATATATGTATATATTATATATATGTATATACTTTTATGTGCCTATTTTAGGAGGGATTACCTGCTACTTAATAAATCCGTCTGTGTAGAAATGTTGAGTATAAATACAAAATTAAAATAATTTTATAATATTATAAACAAAAAATGGGGATATGATGCTCGTTGGATGTAGTGAAGGGAAGGGAGAAGGAAAATTGCTTATATAAGTTTATAATCCTATCGTGATTTTATAAATTGCAGGATGGTATGGGACACGAGAAACGGAGTTGGTAAGCTTAATCTAAAGCTGTATAACTTTTGCTGGGCATTGTCCTACCAAAAGCTATGCAAATTGTTAAAAAAAAACCTGAAAACCTTCGTTAGAATCAATGAAAAGGGTACTGAATGGTAAAGTAAATATCAGTCCCCCAACAAGGCAATGAATACTGGACAATCTCATCGCAGATGAAGAAGATACATGAATCGACAGAAATGTGATTCTACAGAAGGATGTTGAGAATAATATGAACTAAATATCTGAACAAAGACTTGTTTTATGGAAAATGTAAACGAAAAGTACACTGGAAAGATATTTGAAATTTATACGCCGCTTAAAATGCTGGGCAGTTTTCTCGAAGATAAAAAAAAAGATACATGAAGTTGAAATTGCTTGGGAACATAATGAGGAAAGAGGCCTGTGAAAATCTGATAATCCCAGGACAAATTGAGGGCAAGAAAAACAGATGAAAACAACGTATAAACCACCTTGCAAATCGGAGATACCAAAATCAAATAAGTGTGGAAATTTAAATAGCTAGGAAGTGTTTTAACAGAGAACGGAAAGTATGAAACTGAAATCCGAAGACGTAATGGGATAGGCAAAGATGCATTCCAAATTCTACGGTGAGTGCTAAAAAATAGAAAAAAAAAATTATTCAGAAACCATGAAAGTTCTACGTGATATTTGTCCATAACAATGGGTGCTGTATGATATCCTCAAATATGAAAAGGAGAATGGAAGCAATAGGAAAGTAGTTCAACAGAAGGATGATGTGGATACTTTGGACTTCCGCGCTAAGTAACAATCTAACTCTCTGCTTTCGGCCGGAGAGGAACCCGGACCAAGCTCCACCGAAAGTCAGAGTCTCGTTCGAGGTGGTTGACTGCCCCTGAACCCGTTTATGCGGGTTCAAAGAGGGAATATATTTGGCCGAGCCTACGGGCTCGAAAATCCCACGTTAAACCCGGCCTTGTGCCATATGTAACCCTCGTGGGAGGGGGGTAGCTAAATATCACTTTGGACCGAACATTTGAGCAACGACAAAGTTTTGGAGAAAATGGAAACAAAAAGGAAACTAATACTTTACATCCGAAAGAGAGAGTTGAGGTTTAGGGAGCACATCATGAGCACATTAAGAGCTACAAGAGACAGGAAGCTGTGGAGAGCTATGATCGACTATGTCCTGATGAGACATGGCACATAAAGAAGACCCAGAATTTGGAGCCAATAAAGTAACCAGAAAAAAGTTTCCAAAGCAATCAGTTATGTGCTATATGTGATACACGCTTAGGCGATCATGTATCTTACGGTACATGACTGACGAGGCAGATGTTTTTCCACACTAGGTTGCCATTTCTTTCTGCGGTAAACAAGTTGGCATCCAAGGCAAGGACACATGGCACAGTAGATAAAGGCGTTTGTTTGATCCAGTGACAGGACCCAAAGAGTGTGAGTTCAATATCCGGTTAAGGCAGTGGAAAACTTTCAGAGGGAAATTAACAGGAGATAGCTGATAACTAATATTCATTAAACATGGCACCCGGAACTAGAACAACCTACCCCAGTGAGCGAAATAAAGGGTTAAGTTCGACATTCCAGCTACCTGAAAAAGGCCGGAGCGTACAACGACCGAAACGTTGTAATAAATATGGAGACAAATATGAGGACAATAGTCCGAATAATGTAAATAATGTACATAATACCTCATCTCAGAAATATAGACGGGTATTAGCACGTAATTGAATTTCAGTTAATGTGCCATTCGTGATACACGTTTAGGCAATCATGTATCTGTCGATATATGAGTGACGAGGCAGATTTCCCACAGTAGGTTGCCATTTCTTTCTGTGGTACACAAGTTGCAATCCAAGGCAAGGAGACATAGCACAGTGGATAAAGGCGTTGGTTAGATCCAGTGACAGGACCCAAAGAGTGTGTGTTCAATACCCTGTTAAGGGTTAAGTTCGACATTCCAACCACCTGAAGAAGGCCGGAGCGTACAATGACTGAAACATTGTAATAAATACGGCGATAAATATGAGGACAATAGTCCCAATAATGTAAATAATGTACATAATACCTCATCTCAGAAATATAGACGGGTATTAGAACGTAAATGAATTTCAGTTAGTTATGTGCCATGCGTGATACACGCTTAAGCGATCATGTATTTTTCGATACATGACTGACGAATTTTTTCCCGGAGTAGATTTCTTTCTGCGGTAGACCAGTTGCCATCTGAGGCTATAGAATCTGGTCTGTTCTGCTATGTCTCCATAGCTGAGTGGAAAAGAAGGGTATTAGCCCGAAAGTGAATGTAATTTATCCGACTGGAATTCGAAATCTCCGATTCCTCAATCCGAGCCGCTATCCTTTACTCCAACGTGCCTCCAAAGCAATACGTAAATGAAATATCTCCGAATTAAAACCAAAACGTTATTTGATGATGGTTGGTTGATAGATTTTATTTAGCGGTATATCAACCACTGTGGGTTGAAATGCCGAAATCTAAATAATTTTGAACAACATTTTATAGTTTCAACTAAATATATTTTGAAGGCAATTGTACGCCTTTAACTACAAATTAAATGCATACCTGGTCATGTATTGTCGGTCTGCTTTTTATATAAAATGTATAGCTGGTATTTTTGTACTATCACGGTGTTTTATTAGAGGGGCTCTCTATTTGCTCATAGGTGGGACCCTAAGAAGTACTACCACCTCTGGACAGCGTGAACCTATGAACAGCAATTAAGAGGTGGTTCCACGATCCTCAAAAACCTCCAATCTCTCGATCAGAAACTTTATTGACATATGTAGTTTATCGCAACACCCAGGAATTCTGTTGGTCAAAACAAGCAAAATTACGCAATTATCGATGACGTAAGCACTGTTTGATATGTTTTAGTTAGTTGATGTTATTTAATGCCAAAATCTAAATAATTTGAACACAGTTACATCCCTTCAACTAAATATATTCTGAACGGAATTGTATGCCTTCAACGACAGATAGCATGTATTGGTGGTCATTTTGATTTAAATATATATTGTGTTTAATTTTATTATAAAATGTTGGTTGTTTGATTTATTTAGCGGTATATCAACCTCTGTGGGTTATTTGATGCCGAAATCTAATTTGAAAACAATTTTATAGCTTCAACGAAATATATTTTGAATGCAATTGTATACCTTCAACTATTGATAAAATGTATTGCAGTTTGTTTAGTTTTTTAATTATTAAACTGTATTTTAATACTTTCATGGTATTTTTGTTTGGAGAGCTTACTAATTGCCTATAGCTGGGATCCTAACAGTTTCTATTACCCCAGCTCAGAGTGGACCTGAAAACAACAGCAATTAAAAGGTGGTTCCACGCGTCTTAAAATCTCTATTATCCCAATCAGCGGCCTTGCTGCTGGATGTAGTTTATCGTCATACCCAGGACTTATTTGATGATAGGAAAATTATTTAAAAACAAGCTACTCAATACATAAGTCTATTATCATAGCAGATTTGTCTATAATTTCAAATTAAAGAATTTGAATTTGAATCTGTTTAAAATAGAAGTTAATTCATTTAAGCAAAATGCATTGAAAGTGTGCGAACTTCGAAATATTATCCTGGGCGTAAATAGTATCTTTCCCACCTTTACAAAATTACTGCAATTACAATGAAAGCAATAAAAAGAAAAATAAAAGCGACAAATGGCTGAATGAAATATCTGAGTGGAGTGAAGGGATAATAGTACAAACCGCAGATAAGGCATTTGATTTAGAGGATTTATCGATACGAGAATTTATAGGAGGGTTTCCCCCAAAAGGACACTTCTAACAAAAGTTGTAGACAGCATTATTCAAAGTGAATGCAGCAGTGTCTCAAAATATACAATATTTTATTAGCGATGCGGTCGGCATTACTATCCACTGTTCATCAGAGAAATCTTCTTCAATTCACACTGGATGCTGTATAAATGGTTGAAGTAAAAATGACACGATGAATGTTGCTTTCTTCTGAATAAGTCAAACGGCACAGTTCGTAAGAAAAAGATGGCAGCACTTCCACTCAGGCAGAAGAAATGGGTTTTGACTGTTTGATGGTCTGGGAAAACTTCTGTTGGGAAACACTAAGTCCATTCATTCATGAAGAAGACACGTTGTCGCATACAACCTACCAAAGATCAACGAAGTCCATATATATCCTTTGCTAGTATCTGTTTTTCTTACGACAGGGAATTTCACTCTGTCTAATAGCAAAGAATTGTACAGGAATAGTTTGATACATAAAAAACGATCTTGATCCGGTGACCTTGCTGCAGAGAACTCAGTCGCATTGAGCATTTTAGGGAGGCCTATAATGAAATTTCTCTCTCTCTCTCACACTCTCTCTCTCTCTCTATCTATCTATTTATATATATATATATATATATATATATATATATATATATATATATATATATATATATATATATATAAAAGGCAGGATGTGTGTGTATCAGTAACGAATGCACGGCTGCAATTTTCGACGGATTTGCACCAAAGTTTACATACACATACTCAATTTAGCGGAAAGGCCAAGACCGACTTTGCATTTCCCAACTCCCAATAATCAATTTTTTCATGCTTCTACGGCAGTTTTCCTGTAGTTTGCCGCCATTTTGTTCTACCCAGAATGAGAGCCTATAGATGGCTGCCACGAATAGGCAGGAAGATTCTATTGGCCAGCGTGAGAGCCAACAGCTGACTGACACGAATGTTAACTAGCATGCAAAAAAAAATCTCACAAGTGGGAAAAATTTAAATCTGCATGGTACTTTACTCCAATTGGCTCATTCGCTTGCTTAAACTCAACGTTGATTCTGATTCCGCAGAACTGGTATGGATGTGAAAAGGATTTGTTGTTAACATTCTTTTTTCATTCGGTTTTTCCAGTTACGAGTCCTTTTTTAAAGCTGATCGTTTTGTGTTTATTTTGTTTAGTTCTTTTTCGTAACAGATTTAATGTTTAGTATAGAGCTTAGAAAAAAATTCGCAGTGTGAGATAGACAAGAAGTAAGGCATGTAGCAACATCAGCACGGCAAAAGGCACTCCTTTAAAGGCAAAGAAGGGCAGAAAATATTTTAAGTCAAGTGATAGCGATTGCTGTATGAGTCGTACGATTTTTTGAATCAAGAATCAGGCCATGCTGCTGTTATATATATATATATATATATATATATATATATATATATATATATATATATATATATATATCCCCGTTTAGTCATATCTATCTATCTATCTATCTATCTATCTATCTATCTATCTATCTATCTATGCACATATTTATCGTTTTGATTTAAACGTATTGGGATGTGTTATGCCAACCATCGAATGTATCTATTCAGCTAAGCTAGCTAGCCAAGTCTGGTCATATCTATCTATCTATCTATCTATCTATCTATCTATCTATCTATCCAAGTCTGGTCATTTCTCTCTCCCTCTCCCTCCCTTCCCTCCTTTCTCTCTCTCTCTCTCTCTCTATATATATATATATATATATATATATATATATATATATAATGTATGCACATTTATTTTTTGTGTCTTATACTAAACATGAAATCTATCTATCTATCTATCAATCTATCTATCTATCTTAGTCCGTTCGTTTCTACCTGCAGGTCTCTATGTCCATCTTTCAATCTATCTATCTACCTACACACACACGCGCGCATATTATCAGCTGACCAATTCATCTAAGTTTTTCTTTTCTAATTATTTTGGGCATTTAAGACATACGGAGAAAGTTTAAAAATCTGCTTTTAAAAGATTTCATATAAATTCCCTATGTTATCTCATTCCAATCCAATTTCAAATACTTACTATAAAATCTGCAAGAAGATAAAATATTAAATACCTACTAATCCGGTCATACTTTATAGTAATCCTGCCGTCGTCATGCAAAGTGGATCTAATTCTCTCCCATATTCATTTCGTTACTCTCCTTCTTCATATTATTCTCCTTTCCGACACCCGTCTTCTCTCTCCCTTTCTACCACTCTCTCTCACTCCCTCCCTCTATAAAGCCGTTCTATTAAAGAATTGCTGATTGTACTTAATGACATGTGGCCAGACTGCAGGATTTGCGAGGATTAGATCAAGTTTTGAGAAGAGATGGAGACCGTGCCAGAACTCATCGAACGATAGTCGCTAATTTGAATCGACCAATAAACGTACTGACCCAGTCCTTGTAGTAAAAGCTGCTATTTACGAGTAGCTAACTTATGACCATATCACCGCTACGCATTCGATAATAGGAGTTAAGCAACACCGAGCGTGATCAGTGTCTACATGGATGACTACTTGGTAATACCAGGTACTATAAGCTTATTTTCGGGTGAAGTGGATAATGGCCGTAATGGGAAATCAAACAACCGTGTTTGTTACATTCACTTACGCGCAAATAACCCTGGGAAAAGTAAAAATTCATCTGTTCCCTCAGCTATGGGTTAAATAGCAGGACAGAGTACATTCGATAGACTTGGTTGGCGACCCGTCTACCAAAGAATGTAACGGCAGCCTACTAAGTCAATAATGAATCAAAAATGATTGCCTAAGCGTTCAACACGCATATCACCTAATGGCGATGAATTTACAAGAAAAGGTTGATGTCAGATTCATATTTTACCGAGTTATAACTGTAGTCGATTTAAACATGAATGTATTGGTGGTAAAACAGATAAAAGCTCGGAATAAGAAATCAGAGAGTCGATTGCCAGTTGTGATCGTTTTTTTTAAATTTTTTTTTTATCGTGTTGACCCCAAGAAAAAAAATAAATCCACTGAGACACAAGGGGGTTACTGCGTGTGGAAGAATTAGAACACGGACATTATAGAGGAAGAGTAAACAGGAGGACAGTAGATAACGTTTGACATTGTATTTAAGTTGTTGCAAATTAAAGTTGCTTGTAAAGCATAGAGCGGAAAGAATGTTCCACCAGCGAGAAAAAAGAACCTTTTAGCGTAGAATTTACGGCTACATCAAGCTAGCTCATCTCTAAATTGATGAGACATCGTCACCAGTCTGGTATTGCGATTAAATTCAAAGAGTCTAGCCACCCTAAACCTGCTCATTCGAACAATTACCATGAATATATTTATAGAAAAGGCAGCAAAGGCAACATTACAAAAGTGACTGAAATCGAGACACCAGATCGGCGCAAATAATATTGCCAATTTTTCTTTGGATTTCATCAAGGATCTCTAGATAAATAGCAGGAGCACCGGACCAAATATGGCAGCAATATTCTAAACATGGGCGGATGATAGACTTATAGATATAAACGATAGACTCTGGAGAGAAAAATCGTCTAGCACGATACAGTGAATTAACCTTCCTAGCAGTTGACCTAGCAATGGATTCAGTATAGTTTTTTTCACTTCATGTCAGCCGAGAACATTAGCCCAAGAAGGTTCAGCGAATCACTTTCCTGGAGGTCAGCATCAACCATGCTGATGGAAGGCAGAGATGCTTCTCTCAGATAATTAGTAGAGAGCAATTTCGTTTTGGAGGCGTTAAAATTAACAAGCCATTGTTTATCCTAGCTAACAACAGACTGAAGGTCTTTTTGGATATCAGCTGTTATTTTGAGCATATCAAACTGACCAGACTTAATATCGAGACATAAATATATTAATTGTTAACAAGAAATAGTTTGTTGCATGTATGTATTTATATAATGTTATCGTTTTCAAAAACACGGTCAAGATAGTGCGTCCATGTTCATAGTTGATATTATTGACTGCTGGTATTTTTGTTTTTATTAATAAGGCTTCCATTATTTTTAGCCTTTTTTTGTATGTAGATGAAGCTATTATATTTAATGGATAGCGGCTCGGAAAGAAAAAAAAACTGCGAGTCGAGATCGAATTGCAGGAAATAAGTTTGAGTAATGTATGAATCCATACACGGGTTAACAAAGAGACAGATTCTGCTCTATAGTCTTGGTTGGCAACTAGTATGGGATAGGAAACCATTATATTCGCAACAGTCTAGAAAAGATTAGGCTCCGTCAGGTTTTCTTGCCTAAGACGCATTGCTACAGCTGCAGTAAATGTAGCCCTTCTGCGACCCTAAGAGATTATGGGACATGCGATTGTGATCTTGACACATACATGATTAGATAATGAAACAAATCAGAAATATACGTAAATTTGACATGCTTCGCTATATTAAATAAATAGCAAAACACGTGAAGTACGCATTTTCTTTAATATGATTACTGGAGTCTTTAGATTGGCAGGTGAAATAATAATAGTTTAAAGAATAAACGAAGGATTCACTCAAATATGGGTATCCATTAGAAATAATGTTTACAGTAATATATATATATACATGTATTAAGTAATTCAAGAAGAAACCCCAGCAGAATGCAGAAGGAACTGGACGGCCGTTTCGTATTATATTTGGGACTCACAGGCAGTGCGCATCCACTACCGAGAATTGAAATCCAGTCAACTACATTGACAGGCAAACGTCATACCAACTGTACTAACAGACCTCGGTTACATATCCCTAAAATATAAATTGAATGAAGACCATTTTAAGTAAGTAATATATATATATATATATATATATATATATATATATATATATATATATATATTTATTTTTATAAAAAAATTATAACATAAGTTTGTTATAAAATCACTACAAAAATAGCCATTTTGTTTCAACACACTCTGTGTCTTATCAAGTGATGATGTTGAAAAATAAAATAAATATATATATATATATATATATATATATATATATATATATATTTTTTTTTTTTTTTTCTCCACAACTTTTATTGTACATTTTTCTGTGTTTAATTTTAAATCTCCTGTTAAAGACTGAAGAGCGAGCGAAACCAGGTTGCTTCGCACGTTTTTAATATGTCCCCTAATATTAAGTTTTACACTTTTATTTCGATCATTAAATTTTGTACCTACAAATATATCTTTATATATATATATATATATATATATATATATATATATATATATATATATATATATATATATATATATATATATGAATATATAAATGCGAATGCAAATGTCTCTGTCACACTTTTTCACCTTTACTCCTAGCCCAACATATAATACCATTTTGTAAGCAAGCCGATTCCGTGGACAAAAGATAACATTTTTTTATAACTTGTAAATAAAAGTGGATATAATCAAAATTATTTTCAAAATCCAGCGAAAGTCACACATGAAATAAAACTAATTTTAAGAATCTACGTACATCAAATTGGTATCAGAAGAATTATCGTTGAACTTTTAAAAAGTAAGCTTAAATATAAATGCAAATGCACTGATCAATTTTGAGTTCTTCTGTAGTTTATTGTTGCCTATCGCTTCTACTCTTCCCTAGCTATGATGATGAAAGTTCATACAAGAGTCCTTCGAAAGCGAGCTTACATCCCACCCGATAGGGCAGATTTTAGGTTAGTATATATATATATATATATATATATATATATATATATATATATATATATATAGTAGATTCTCTCGTTGTATTCGACGTATGAGGATCAAGCAGCACAGCTCCTACGAACCGACAGCCAGAAACCAGTACAAATTGTTTGATTATAGTGGTGAAGGCTTTGTGCAGAACCAACCACACTTTTTGAAGGGCCGAATACAGACATCTGTTGAACTACTTGCCACAAAATCACCAAACAATACTCCGCAGATTTTTTAATTCCGGCTTGTCCTAGACTAGTTGCCATCCAAGGCTATACAACCCAATCTCTCCTACTATTTACCCATAGCTGGAGGGAGAAGAAGATTAAGAACTTTCCCAAGTGTATTAGCACGTAAGTGAATGTAATGGATTCGACTGAAATTCGAACTCTTTGAGGTTTGTCAGAGTGTAAGAATTCGTTTGTGGAATTCATCTTCAGTTCCCCTTGTTCAGAGTGTTATTGTTAGGACACATCATGCTACCTCCACAGAGTTGAATCAACCTTATTTGCCCCGTGTTCCAAATGTAAGAAGCAAGTTTTAATCAGGTCACTTTTTTTTCCAGCTGTGACTTTTAGGAACAGATTCCCGCCTTTCTGAACGGTTTAATCTTGACCTTTTCAAGCCAATGTTAATCGTTATCTATCCCGCCTTGTCTGCACAATACCCACTTCCTATCATCTTATTTCCAGTCATATCTCAAACGTCATTCATCTTTATAATAAACCTTCTACTTTGTGTAACTGCCGAATCTTGCACTAGACGAAATTTAGTAAAACAAAATATTCAAATATGGTGAGATTAATTTATTTAGTGAATGAGGATATACGAGTACGGACATTTGTGAGGTGATTAGTATTAAGAGAAGCTATTTTTATGAATGAAACTTCTCCGAGTTCTGCATCATTTAGATCAATGACTTCAAAGAACTCTTTGATGTTGTCGGATGACCTTACAAAGCGAAGGTTTTCATCCGAGTATTCGTATTTGTTGGTTGGCGCCAAAATTAAGCGAAGTCAATTGTACAACCCTCCTTCAAAGCTTTCCGTTTACTACCAATCACTGACTTGATATGTTAACTATACCACAAAAAAAACAGCAACTCCCGACTCAAGAAATTTTAAATATTTCTAATTTCTTACCTGCATGCCTTTAAGTTTCGTCTTTTTTAGCCAGTAACCATACACATTAAGGATAAAATAGAACAATTTAGTTCTTTACTATAAAGCATAAAGGCAGGTGCCCGAGAGGTTAGAACGTTCCACTTCTGACAATGAGACCCGGGTTCGAATCTCACATTAGTTGATCTGTCAGGAAGGCGACTTCATGATGTTATCGGACTGGAGGGGTCGATCCCAGCGTGCGGCACCATAACCATACTTCAGGTGACCCAAGCCTTGCGAGTGGAATTGGATAGACGGTACCCTTGGGTGCTCTCGATAGCTGTGTTAGCACAAAGTCGCAAGACATCGTGGCCTTGAGCGTCAAGCTGTTGATCACGCTAGATAACACGCTCTTTCCCAGAAACTGTAACTAAGGTCTGCTCAACATAGTTTCAGTATATACCA